CACATCTCGAACAACTTTGATTGTTCCATCATACATCTTCAATTTGATGGTTCCCATGCCAACGATCTCTAAGGCATGATCATTGCAACTATACATAGATCCTCCTGAGATAGGTTCATAATGATGGAACCATTCTCTTCTTGAGGTCATGTGATATTTTGCTTCTGAATCAATGATCCATATATCTGTATATCTTTTTCTACCTTCCACGGTAGTTGACGCTTCACAGCATAGAGCATCTCCATCATCTGAAGTGTTTGCGGTATTGCCTTGTGGATTGGAGTTTTTATTTAGACTCCAACAATCCTTCTTTAAGTGACCCTTCTTTCCACAGTTGTAGCACTTTAAATTCTTCTTGCTTCTCGACTTCGATCTACCATGTTTGTGACCGTTGTTTTGGCCACGTTCTGTTGATCTCCCTCTCATCGTTGTCAATGCTTCTGCTTGTTGCAGATTTACTTGTCTGTCTTCCTTGTTCTTGCGCCGATTTTCTTCTTGTAGAATATCAGCTACAGCGTCATCAAAGACTAGACTGGTGACATTACTGTTTGTCAAGTTGATGATGAGTTGATCATACGAATCCGGTAGACTTTGAAGTAGAAGTTCAACACATTTTTGTTCTCCTATTTTACAGCTTAAGGATGTAAGCTGAGAAAATAAAGTGTTCAGTGTATTTAAGTGCTCCGTCACTGAAGTAGATTCTGTCATACGGAGAGCGTAAAATTTTCTCTTAAGGAAAATTTTATTGTGCAGCGATGTGGCCTCGTACAATTTGGTGAGATGATCTCATATCTCCTTAGTTGTCTTATTCTCCTCGATGCTTGATAATACTTCATTTGCTAATGCTAGATGAAAGTTTGCCATAGTATTTCCGTCCATTTCGATCCATTTATTGTCATCTGTGAAATCCAGCGGCCTTTCACTGATAGCTGCTAGACAACCATCTTTCCTCAGGATGGCATTCATCTTCAATTTCCACAATGAGAAATTTCTCTCATTGAATTTTTCAATATCAAATTTCGTTGTCATAGATTCTTTTACGGATAGCTCCCACTATTTTACTATCGTGAATAGTTCTCTAGAACCTTCAAAGAATGGGTAATAACTTCTTACTTTCTTATGTTGGAGGATCCACCTTTTGGTGACAACCACAAAGATAATAAGCAGATATTACACACTTTAATCTGGCTCTGATACCAATTGTTACGGAAGACGGCTATCGGATAGAGTAAAATTGCAACTAATAATTTGAGAAAATAAAAATGAAAATAAAGAAGACACAAATTTTACGTGGAAAACCCCTAAATAATATAGGGTAAAAACCACAGGCAACGGTAGAAGAATTTCACTATGAGAAAATAGGTATTACAACTTCTCTCGATCGACCAATGAGAAAATAATGGTAATTCTCTCTTGATAAAAAGGAGAAAACAACTCTCAAGAAACTCTAAATTTTCTCTAGTATTATAAGAAAGTTAGAATGCTTTGGGATGATTTTGAAGCTAAATGAGCTAGGGTATTTATAGTTGAAGTTTAAGGACTAATTTGTAAATACCCTAAATTAAAATGACTAAAGTTTGTATTTTGCCCTTTCTAAATGTCAATAAAATCAAGCTTGATTATTGAATTGCACCTTTCAGTGCATTAATACTTGCAACTTTCGATGCAAGTTGCACCAACTTTTAACACAATCTTGGACCCCTTCGCTATTATGCCAAAACCCCAACTGTTGCCAAAAATGATATTCATCTTCTTGATGTCATTACCATTGATGGTAACTGGAATGTTGAAACCCTTAACTCTCTCATCATCGATGATGCTATTCCCCACATCCTCAGGATCCGCCCCTCATCTTCTGATGACAACGCGGATGCCTGCATTTGGCGATAGACTTCAAACTATAAATTCAGCACTGCTTCGGCTTACTCTATTCTAGTCGAACCTCATTGGGACAATACTCATCCTCAGTGGAGGAAATTTTGGCATCTCCAAGTTCCTCAACGTCTTCGACTCTTCCTTTGGTTGGTGCGCCATGACAAACTCATGACAAATGTTAAACGGCATCGGCGTAGCTTCACCAACGATTCTTCCTGCTCTGACTGTGGCGCTGCACAAGACACCACTCTTCACGTTATCCGTGATTGTTCCACCGCTCATTTCCTCTAGAGGTGTATCGTTCTTAATACCGTTAGCTCTCAATTTTTCTCCTTTAACTTGAGCACTTAGCTCATGTTTAACATATCTACTTCCTCCATTCTTCATTCTGCAGATGCTTCCTAGTGTATTGTGTAACACCCCGAATTTTCCCCAAATTCGAAATCCTAGGATTGGGAATTTTCCTTCAAAACCCTAAAATTGATTTTAGGGATTAAATTGAATTCTCGAAAATATTAATGAGCATATTGTAAACGAAGAAAAGCTTTGATTTGTTTTAAAAATCCTAAGGAATTCAAAGACTGACCTAATAATTAACCCGTCTTCTTTATCACAATTTCAACTAAGTTTTAAAACTAATGTGCGACCGCTTTTTCACTCTTTTTCTTATTCGTTTATTTTTTTTACTTTATTATCGACGTTTCGCCTTTGTGACGGCCCATTTATATGGTGTGTGGATTGAATTTAGTGTGGTTCTGGGAACTCATTCTTCTAATTGAGATTGGAGTACAAGTGGTTCTATGAGCATTTGCATAATATTTAAATTATTATTACTATTGATTATTTGTCGTATGAATATATTTTTATGAATGCTTTGGACTATATTTTTACTTGTTTGTGTTTGTACTTTAGAGACACACTAAGACTCATTGCTTACTCTCCTTAGTTTTTTATTTCAATCTTCTCAACTAGGTGAACCGGTACTTGGAGTTCAACACTTCTCGTTTTCATTATTTATATAGTATGGCATTTTCTCGGACTTTATGGTTATTACTTTGTCAGTATTTTATATGAAAAATATTTATTATGTTTAAACATTTTGGCACATTAGATATTAATTTATTATTTTAGACTACAAAGAATGTTTTAATACTTATTTGACCTATCGAATTTTCTTGGGTTATTTATTTAATAATATTTATTAGTTTTGGAGATTCGGATGTCTTCTAGTATTAAATGATTATTTTAGAGTTTCAAAATTTAAAATTGGTTTCGTGAGGGACAAATTTTAATGTGATTTTAGAGGTCCGATCTAATTTTTCTCTAGGTCGGATTTAGGAGCTACATATCATTTTAGCTACCTTAATCTGGAATATATGGAAAAGTCGCAATCACCTTAACTTCAACAAGAATCACTGCGTCCCTGCTGCTATCCTACCCAAAAGTTTAGATTGGGCAAAGCTCATTTATGGTTGTAACACAACCAAGATTAAGGAGATCTCCTATGAGCAGAAGATCTTCCAATGGCAACAACCACCCCAGGGATGGTTCTCTCTAAACGTCGATGCAGCTATATCTCCAACCTCGGGTCTGGCTCGTTGGCTTCCATAAACAAGTTGGTATTGTCAATATTCTCCAAGTAGAACTTTGGGCTCTCCTCCTTGGTTTACAGGTGGCTCGGTCAAAGGGTTTGAACTCATTATAGTTCATTCTGATTGTTTGGAAGCAACCAAACTTGTCCAAAACGCTAAAACAAACCCGAGCTCCTTACCATTGGTCCGTTCGACCCAGCGTCTATCACTTGGATTCCTCGTGAGTTCAACATGCTATTTTATAAACTCAGGTTCAATTAAATTATTGTTAGTCAAGTTCGAGTTCTCGAGTGGATCAAGGATTTTTATAACTTTTGTTGCTATTGACTTTGTTATTGTAGCTGTAAGTGGGTCCCCTAAGAGACCTGTAATTGTGCTTTAGGCTTCTCAACTAAGTTAGTCTATAGATCATGGAGTTATAGCAGGTTTTGATTATGAGCGTATGCATATCGTCAGTAGTATTGTTGAGGAAAATGGTGATCAGATTGATCATACCCGTCATACTGAGTTTGGCACGATCCGTAATATACCTTATCGTAAGAATTATTTTATTGTTGGCCAGAGTACTTGGATTTGTCGGGTGGATTTTGTGATGAAACCGTAAGTTGGGCTGGTTGTTCTCAGATAGCTCTGGGAATTCATTATGATTAGATTTTTTAGTCTGAGATTTATCAAGCTCATCACATCAATTGTTGATAAGAACAAGATGATTATATAAGTTGTGAACGGTTTATTTCCTTTTAATCTGAATGAAGAGTTACAAAGATAGTTGGACGATCGTAAATCAGATGATAATAACTTAGCAAAGAATGATCGATAATGGAAAGACGAAAAAAAGTTGTTAAAAAAAGAGAGATCAAAGGGAAGTGTTCGAAGCAGACTTATTTTTCTTCTCTTTCATGAATTTATATCTTGACTTCTTATATATGTTTATGTCTCAGGGTTTAATAAAAAGTCATCGTTATTATTTATAGATCAATAAAGTGTATAGATGTGATTATCAGTCACAATATTTAATTCAGACAATTCTTTTATCAAGGACCTTATCAAAATTTTATGGTAGACCGAAAAATTCTTTGTGAGAGAATCCTTTGAAGATGGTCTTGATAGAAGAATTTGTATCTGGTTTGTACCTCTATCCAGATCTAGAGGTATAACAAAATTGAATATAAATATTATATATAAATATTTAAAAGATAAGTTATAAATTGAATATAAATATTAAATATAAATATTTAAAAGATAAAATATATGAACAAATCAAATGTCCTTCGTGATAAAAAAATATTATTAAATCATAAAAAAGTTTTTATAAGTCACTCAATTATAATATAAATAATATAATGTATTAAGATTTATAAAAATTATAAAAATATTTTAAATACAATCATTATTAGACAAAATACTCTAGCACGATAAAACTAAAATACAGAAACCGCAATGCCGGGAAAACTATTGTCCGAAATCTGAATCAACCTTGAAAGGATGAAATTAGATAGGTGAATAACTAAAACTTATCCAAAGTGAAATCTGTGATCTTGCATGGAAAATTGTATTATCAACTGCATGATGAAATAGATTTTTGGAGAAGTTCTGTATAAAACAGGGTTCAAAAGGAAAAGGTCTCTCTCTCCCTCTCATGAGTGTCTATAAACCAGTCAATCCTGAGAAGTGCTTATTCATGGCTCTATCCTTCCTGTAATTATTATGTCTTCCACCACCCCTTCTTCCCCTGCCCCTCTGATTTCCTGCATTTCCTCTCTCTTCGGATTCAGTGTTGTCGGATAGGTTATCTTTTTCACCATGAGACTCTCTTTGTCTTCCTCCTCCACCCCCTCTTCCTCTTCCCCTTCCCCTAGCGTTCCTCGTATGTTCCCTCCCTCCCGTCTCAGAAACATCAGGTTGGTTGGTTTGCTCCTCATGACCCATCAGCTTCTTAACTGCACCAAGAGGAAGGTTGCCACCCCGTCCAAGGCCATGTATCATTTCCCCCTGAGCTTGGGTTACTAATGAAGCTTCATCAGCATTTGCAACTGCAACTGAACCTGCAACCTTATAACTGTAATTCTTACCATCCTTCACATAGTATTGGGGTTTCTTTCTTGTGCCCCACTTAGAATTAGGCGCAGATTGACCAGAACTTTCAGGTTGGGTCTTTCCAAAGTTGAAGCTGAGTTTGTCGCTTAGCATCTCATTTTCCTCCAGCCCTGACTCCGCAACACTTAGACCTAGGTCATCGAAAGAGTCGTCATATTCATCTTCATATTCGTACTGAGAAATCAAAGAAACTTTTCTTAATGAATCATTCTTGTCTCTGGCATCAAGAGTAGCAGAATCAGGTGAGTCATCTTTGGACTTCCTAATAAACCTCCCAACTGTGGATGAGGATGACATAGATGGACCTTCAACTGGTTGTCTGTTAACTACTGGTACATTTGTAGTTGAAGATACCGGTACAATGTCAACCATTTTCCCTTTCCCTTTATCATTCCTGGTCAGGGTTGAAGCAGACTTGGGCTCCGGCATTGTCTCCAGGGAAGTGTCCAAGGCCTGCAGATCTCCATGAAGAGTACCCTCAAGAATCCTCTGAATAACCTCTTCTGGATTCTGGTTATAAACTTCTAGGCATACAGCTATAAAGCCTTTACCATAATCAGGAAAGATATCTTTAACTTGGCTGATTTTTGATTGCACAATTGCAGCATCTTCATCCATCTGCGCATTATTGCTTGTCATAGAGGCTGGTATGGGGGGTTTAGGGGTTTGCTCTTTAGCGATGCCCTTCGTTGAATACATTGTAATCCCATATAGATACTGAAACTGTTCATCCTCCATGAATATCCACCCTGCGCGAAAGTTGTTGAATACAAATTACTGTGCGAAAACAGAACATTTATCAAAGAACAAGAATAATGAAAGATTGGTGAGCTATTGACATCCTCCAATGCAAAAGTTCAATGATTAGATGGCTTTGAAGAAGACTCAGTTTCACAAATATTACAGCAATAAATTAATACATCACTCTCCATGTATTACGATAATGATTGTCCCTCAAATCAAATAACAAGAGATGAGAAACAGGGGAGGACAGAAGCAATGGAGTGTTGGAAAGTATTCAATTTGTTGGGGGTAAAGTTTAAAGGAGGAGAAAAAGAATTCGTGACCAAAGTTGCTCCTTTGGTGAAGGATAGAGATGATTGAGGGGCGGTAGTTGGTTCAGGGGTTATGGTCATAAAATTAATTTGATGGTAGAATGGTCCATTATGTGTTGGAATGTTAGGGGTCTGGGTAGGAAGGTTAAAGCTCAAGCTATTCGGAGATTTGTTGAGGAGAGAAAACTGACTATCTTATTTCTTCAAGAATCCAAATTAGAAGTTGTTAGTACTATGTTAGGAAGGAAAATGGGAGGGAAAATCCTTAATGGTTTGGTTGTTGTGCCTGCTTTAGGTTCGGATGGTGGACTAATAACAATGTGGAATCAGAAGGTATTTGTGGTTAAGGAAAAGGTCATCCAGACTAGATTTGTGGCATTAAAGGGATGGATGGATGGTATACCAAACATTTGTTGTTTCATAAATGTCTATGGTCCAAGTGTGGAGGCTGATAAAGAGCTGTTTTTCAGAGAATTAACTTCATTTCTGGAACAGGTTGACTGTCCAGTGTGCTTAGGTGGAGATTTCAATGCCCTTTTGACTCAGGAAGAGAAAATGGGTGGCGCTGTGAATTTGGTTTTGATGAATACTTTTCGAGATTTTGTTTCTAAGGCAAATTTAATTGATTTGCCTTTAGTGGGAGGTCAGTTCACGTGGTGTAATAATAGGGAAGTTCCCACTTTTGAGAGATTGGATCGGTTTTTAGTTGATCATAGTTTTTTCTCGCAATTCCCAAAGATCAGCCAAACTTTGCAGCCTCAGTCCATTTCTGATCACAACATTATTCTGCTGGAGAATAGGAAATGTAATTGGGGGCCGAAGCCGTTTAGACTGTTTAATTATATGTTGGAGGAGGAAGGGTTTAGCGAATTGTTGACAAAAGAGCTGCTCAAATTGGGTGCACAGGAAAACTTGATGTCCATTTCCAAAACACTTAACCGGGTGAAGGATGTGGCAAAAAATTGGTCTGGTAAGGGTTATCTTCAATTACCAGGTAAAATCAGAACGTTGGAGTCTACGATCCAGGATATGGAAATAAAATTGCAACAAGGGTCTTCCTTGGTGTCAATGAATTCTATTGTTGAAGCAAAGAGAGATTTATGGGAGCTACAAAAGAAGGAAGAATCAATTTGGGTGCAAAAGTCTAGATTGAAATGAAGATTGGAGGGTGATAAGAACACAAGGTTTTTCCATCACAGTGCAGCAATTAGAGGGAGGATAAACTGCATTAAAGCCCTCAAAGTTGATGGTGAAGTTATAGAATATCCTAGGTCAGTTAAAGCTTCAGTGATGGAGTTCTTCAAGAGGTTGTATAATCATAAAAACACCCTGGAGGCAGAGGACTTAAATCTGGATTTTCTTAAGCTCTCGGAAGGTCAGTGTTTAGCATTGGAGAAGCCTTTTTCTGAAGAGGAAGTTTGGGAAGTTATTGTTCATTCGGATATCAACAAAGCTCCGGGTCCGGATGGTCTGAACTTAGGGTTTTTTAAGAAGTTCTGGAATATTTTGAAGGATGATATGATGCGGTTTTTTAGGGATTTCTATGTGGGGAAGGAGTGGGAGTCGAAGGTGAATTTTTCCTTCATTTCTCTTATTCCAAAGAAGGCAAATCCGGAGGGGTTGGAAGATTTTAGGCTAATTAGCCTAGTGGGAGGTCTATATAAAGTTATTTCTAAGGTCTTAGCTAGAAGGCTGAGTTTGTGTATTAATGATATTATGAGTCCGTCCCAATTTGCTTTTATTCTGGGGAGGAACATCTTGGACTGCTCTTTTATTGCAAATGAGAGTATTGATTTTTGGAGAAAGAGAGGGGCTGAAGGGAGCAGTCTTCAAGGTGGATTTTAAGAGAGCTTATGACTCGGTGGATTGGAAAATTTTGATACAAATAATGAGCAAAATGGGGTTTGGTGACAAGTGGAGGTCGTGGATGTACCAATGCATGTCAACTGCTGAGATTTCAGTTTTAGTAAATTGGTCTCCTACGGAGAAATTTCATACATCCAGGGGTCTGAGATAAGGATGTTCGCTTTCACCTATGCTTTTCAATTTGGCTGCTGAGTTGCTGCATTTGTTGTTAACTAAAGCAGTGGATTTGGGACTGTTTTCGGGGTTTGATTTAGGAGTGCAGGACCGAGCATTCAAGCTGTCATATCTTCAATTTGCGGATGATCTTATAATTTTCAGTAAAGGCTCTATTCGTGAGTTGAGGAATGTTAGAAGAGTGTTACTTATTTATGAGCTTTTGGTGGGGTTGAAGTTAAATCTAGGCAAAAGCAGGATTTTTGGAGTAAATGTTGAAGATGGGGAGTTAACTACTTGGGCAGACGTTATTGGCTGCTCGGTTGGATATCTTCCATCTGAATATTTAGGACTGCCTCTGGGGTACAAGAGGAATTCAGCTGCTATGTGGGATCCTATAGTGGCGAGATTTCATGCTAAATTGAGTGGTTGGATAGCTAATTCTTTGTCGATAGCGGGAAGGGTAGTATTGGTCAAATCGGTGCTTTGCTCTCTACCGGTCTATTTTCTTTCTATGTTTAGAATTCCAGTTGCTGTGCTACTTAAACTTAACTCTATCATTGCTTCATTTCTGTGGGGGGTTCGGTTGACAAGAAAAAAATCCATTGGGTCAACTGGAAGTCGGTTACTAAACCAAAAAAACTGGGGGGTCTAGGGGTCCATAATCTAGCACTAATGAACCGAGCCTTACTAGGGAAATGGATATGGAAGTTTACTTCTGAAAAGAAGTCTTGGTGGAAGAGAGTGGTTTGTGCTGTTTACAATCTGGATCCGAATTCCATTATTATGGGGAATTCGTGGTCAGCTCGTACATCGTGGATTTGGAAAGATGTGGTGAAAAACTTCTTTAACAATGATGATTTTGGAGATTGTCTTAGAAGGAATATGCGTTTGAAGGCAGGAAATGGGGAAGCTGTGGAGTTTTGGAATGATGTATGGTTGGGTGATGTTCCCTTGAAAATTTTGTTTCCTAGACTTTATGTTCTATCAAATAATAAAGCGGGTAAAGTGATGGAGTTTATGGTGAATAATACCTCGGGTTGGGTGTGGGACATCCAAATGAGAAGGAATTTGGCTAACTGGGAAATTGAACAGTTGCTGCAGTTGATCATTATGTTGAATAATACCTTCCTTTTTCCTGCGGAAGATGATTGTTGGATTTGGTTAGGGAATGGTAAAGGAATTTTCACAACAGAGTCTTGTATAAACTCTTTCTTTGACCAAGGTGGTTTTGAGCAGAATCATGTGAATTGGGAAAAGATTATTTGGATAGGGTTAGCTACTCCAAGGGTGGAAATGTTTGTTTGGCAATTAGTGCAGCAAAGAGTACCGGTTAAAGAGGAGTTAGCAAAGAGAGGTGTTGCAGAGATTGTTGATCAGCTTTGTGTTTTGTGTGGTCGGGAGGTGGAATCAGTTTCCCATTTATTTATGCATTGCAGGGTTGTGTGGGGTCTGTGGTCTTCCTTCTTGAAAATGTGGGATGTTTCATTGGTGATTCCAAAGTGTTCCATGGATTTTTAAATTTTGTGGGATGATTTTATGATTAACTCTTTGATTTGAAAATTCTTAGGGCAGTGATGTGGTCAGTTTGGAAATGAAGAAATGAGATTATCTTTCAGAAAGTAAAGCTGGATTTGGTCAGATTATCTTTCATTGTAAGATTTAGAGTGGCTTCCTGGTTTAGTGCTCGTTTTAAGGATGTGGGTATTCCTTTAGATTCTCTAGTAGGTGATTTGAAACTTGCTGATTCGGCAGGCAGATCAGGAAGGGGTTGCTCTCGATCAGCTTGCTGGGTTCCTCCACCGGATGGGTTTCTAAAGTTAAACGTTGATGGAGCGATGGTTTCGGTGTGGGAAAAAGGTGGTATTGGTGGTCTGATTCAGAATAGCAGAGGACTATTGCTACAGTGGTTCTCTGAATCAGTAGGTGGTGGTCCTCCTATCTTGGCAGAGTTGTCAATTAAAAGAGGGATTTGTCTTATGGAGGAGTTGGATTTGGTCCCAAATCAGAGATTTATCGTGGAATCAAACTCATCTATCGCTCTGAAGTGGATTCAGAATCCAGGTTTAAGCTCCCCTTTGCATCTATCCTTGGTGAAGGATATAGTTTCGCTTTTGACTGGAAAAGATATTATATGTAGGCATATTTTGAGGGCGGCAAACTGGGAAGCTGACAAACTAGCTAAAGATGGGATAGGGTGATTTTTGGGTTATTTGATCGTGTTGATTAGCAGGAGTGTATTTTCCTGTTTGTTAGGTGGTTTGTTTTAAGTTTTATGTTCTTCAGTAGGAAGTCTAGGAGTTTGTTCAGTCTTTGTAATTTGGCTCTTGTGAATAAAAGTTTCTTGGCACTCTTTTCCTCCTTCTTTGTTCCTTCATGTTACCTTCATAACATGGCAGGGCTTGAAGGAGGTTTTTAATGAGGCCTACTTTCTATCAAAAAAAAAACAAGAGATATAAACTACATCTAGAGTGCAAAAGGTATAACAGAAATTAGAAATCAAATAAATAATTCTCTAATAAAACTAGGCATATTCACAGAGGAAATATAAGTGGTTTGATTCACCAAATACACCTTAAAGGTTGACAGCTAAGTGGTCTTCAGCAAGGTTGGTACCAGCCTTACGTGGATATCCACCTAAGCCTATATTAAGTCCCCCCCAATATTCCCCATCATAGTATATAAACAAATTCACCATGAAATATAAATTGATTATAAAGGCAGTATAATCTTTAAGGGGCGATTTTAATCAATGCACTGACCAGTGTTCTGCAAATTCTCAAGTTTCCTCATTAGATTGCAATTCTTTTCAAGGTTCTTAAGGAAAGAATCTTGTTTCTCGTTCTCCTGACATTGCAGTGAAACTCCATTTATCTCCCTAAGTGTTTGAACCAAAATATCTGCTCTTATAAATGGATCTTCAACCGTGACCGGAAACATCTTTGTTACAGTTGGGATGGGATGTGCATCCAAAAACACTTCATCACTAAGATAGCAAATATCTAATAGTTTCCAACCAAATTTGACTATTCTCAAAGATAACATCTTCAAACTTATTGCAATATCTGTTAGCTTTGTGAATTCTTCTGATTTAGAACTTCTTCGAAAACCCCGCTGCAAAGATGGAAGTAAATTATCATGCAGACGTGAAAGAGTTGTGAGCAATTCTTCATTTCCATGACTGCATAGATGAAGAGATTTTTTTTTAATAAAGTGTAGCGTAACTTCTATATAATTTGAGAGGGAAAAGGAAAAGAAGGGACACATCCACAAAGAAAGCTCCCACACAACTAACAATTGAAAAGGTTAAAACAACATAAAGTAGTTATGATCCACAATAAGTTAGGTTAAGCCCAGTGCAACCATCTACTCAACACCATAAAACTTCATGGAACACCCAGGGTTCTTATTGCATGAATGACAAGTGTGTACTTAATACTAATTCATATAGAATAGAAGTTCCATAATGAAAAAGGTACCTCATTTCAACAGGGCAAGAGAAAAAAACAGCTGCAGGTCGGTATGCAGTAACAAAAGCATCCATGGCTACAATGGCATCATTAATAAAGTCCATCACCTGTCCAAAGAAGTAATTGAATAATTCTTAGGCTTCTCTTGCAGCAAAGAAATTTAACTTGAGATAGCACTAAGCCAATGATTTAGGAGGTCATCCTACTATGCTACAATTACAAATTCCTGCTTTGGCTAACTAACCCCCACCACCTCTTGACACAGGTCTTTTATACTCTGTATTTATCTGTTTATTTATTCACATTGTTCATATTCTGATAAAGCGAAAAACATTTCCTAAAAAATACACACACTGCAATTCCTTTTTTAGGTGAAAATCATCCCTAAAACTGAAATACAATGGCATAGTATCTTCCAACCATTCGTTCAGTGTGTGATAGAGATCAAAGAACCTTTCAAACACTGCTCCACACTGGCACCTACAAAACAAAACCACTGGCAAAAACAATAACAAACCTCTAAAAAGTCATAATGAAGTCGATCAAATCCACGATCTCCATGATTTCCAGAAGACTGAAGGACCTATCCAGTATTAGCAACAAATCAAAAAGCAACCATGATTGTCAAGTCATAACTAAGAAAAACTACAGATATACTAACAGAAATGCGCAGAATGCCAAACATTTCACTCAGATAAGAAAACACTTAAAAACTGTATCAGATTCAAAGCAATTTACAATGTACCTCCAAAGATGTGCTGCAGCGTTCATGCATTGTGTAAACTATACTCAAGAAATGAGACAATACCCCAGTCAGATTATCATGGATTGTAGGTTGAGCTTTCAGAGCATTTGCAACCTGAAAATAAATCAGGAGTGAGAATTTTTTTCCCTTTGTATGTGTTTGGGGGGTGGGGTGGGGCAGGAAGGCAGTTCACTTGAGGCATAGGAGAAGATATCTCTCACCTTACTCAACTATGAGACACAAAACACTAATTTGACATAGAAGGGTATCAAGATGAAGCACTTGATACATCCAGTAGAATGCATTTATGGTGGAAAAGTCCACGGCCCATTAACATTTTAGCTATTTAATAGGATACATAAATTAGGAACCATAGAAAGTCATTTTTATAAGAAACTTCTTGATTGGCCTTATGCCCTTCTCCAACTCTGCTAAGGTTTCAGTGCAATTTGACTTCTAGAGTGACCGTTGGAGGCATTTCAAGGAGAAACTTCTTGATTGGCCTTATGCCCTTATATGACTCTGCTAAGGTTTCATTGCAATTTGACTTCTAGAGTGACCTTTGACAATAATGGATTCGAAGCTTATCAAGCATAAATCTAACTATAATGAAAAAGAAGCAGTAAATCTTTAGTTAACAAGAGTTACTTGCAGCAGAAACTAAAGCAGATAGGCTTCAAAATACTAGCTCACCTATAGGCTTTAAAAGAGGATAAAGATACGTGGAGAAAAGAAATCAAGTCTCCAATCACTTGTACAAAAGAATGCTTACCAGCAATTTGGTCAGATCACCATTTTCATGACCGTAGATAGCACAAATGTCCAACAACTTCGGCAAGTCAAGCAACTTCTTCTCCTGCAAGATGACTACAGGAAGAATTAGTGAATAAAATGTGCATATAAAATACCCTATGCATCAAAATTTAACAACAAATTTGGGGATATATAAGGTTGAGCAACACCAAAATGTGTGCAAACTAAATACATTAAGAGACAACCTACCGGCATGGTCATTGGCACTAAGACTATCGGCAGCTCGAGCACCAGGATCCCGATTTGAAGATCTACAGTTGCAAGAAATTTCCACATCAAACAAGATATAAGAGTGTTTATGTAGGAGGGTTATGAAACTTCAAACTCACATTCGATACAACAGCATGAAGATACGGCGGCTTAGCTCAAACTCTCCAATGATAACCCCCGCAACGATTCCTTTGACAGCGCGATGAGGAAAATCATACCACCTGCTCCTAAATTGCAAGAAACTGTCCAAAAATTCATGCAAAGAAGTGTCGCCAGCCACTGACAAGAAAGCACAATAAATGGGAATTCCAGAAAAAGAGAAAGTTAAGTGCATTAAAAAAACAAAAACATCAAATATCAGTTTAAATACCTTGTTTCCAGAATTCTCTGGGACTGAACTTGAGCAAGCGGGACAACTCCCTATTTAAGAGATCAACTACTTTCTGTGATTCCACTGGGTCCAATCCTCCATCCCCCGCGCTGAGGCCCGCCGCCACGGCTTCATCTTGAGGCAAGTAATTTACGAAATTCCCATTGGAGAGACTGGATGGAGTTGCTGTGTTTGGAACCCAATCCCCACTCTCTCCCATCCGAACACGGTTGCTGGTAGAGCCACCGGGTACGGCTGCGGTAGTGCTGGAAGCGGGGGCATCATGCTGTTCGGGAAGGGATTGCCTGATGGAATTTGAGAGGGATGTCGGTTTAGGGTTTTGGTTTTTATTTTTGGGGATGAATTTCTTGTGGGATTTTTGGATATTGTTTCTGATTTCGCCGTCTTGCCTATTGCCGTGATTATACCCATGAGACATGGCTTTGGGTTTTCCCTTTAAAAAGGAAAAGAGAAAAGAAAATTAATTAATTTTCGTTTTTGCTTAGATAATCTCAGTGTTGGGGTGGGGAGGAAGAAAGAAAGGCACACTTCTCATATTTTTTTTCAATTTATAGGTGTTGCTGAATTTATAGTTTTTCAATTTCCATACCATATTCATATTCGTAATGACAAAAAAAAAAAAAAATCATTTATTTATTTATTTCATAATAGAACTCGTAGTTTTAATAATACAAACATCATCTTGAAACATTTGAATTCAAATAATTATTTTATATAATATAATCTATTATCAATATTAAATAAATACTACACTTTAATCCTTTTTTTATAAAAGATGGGAAAAAATAACCGACGACTAAAATTTCTAAAAATAAGAGGAGAAAATAGATTTGCGTAAATTATTATTTGGGAACATTATTAGGCATAACCCTAGACTTTCTAGGGTTTACGATTTTTTCTCCAACTTTATTTTGTGTTCAAATTAATCCTTCAATTTCCAATTTGGTCCCTAAACCTTTAATTCATTTCATATAGTCCTTATTTATTCTAATTTCAATTCAAACGAATCCTCCAAACTTTTTAATTATGATAATTAAGTCCTTTAAGATCCAATTTAAACGAAAATCTGATATGGTTAGCCTTTTGAATAGTTCTAGGCCTAGATTTACCGGTGTGAAAAATCAAATCCGAATTTGTTTTTTTATGTATGCTTGTTGTGACATTCAATTGTGTAAAACTAATAGGAAGAAGTCATGTATTTAAGTTCTTTGTAACCATCTGAATTGTGTTTCAATATTTTATTTTGTTAACGCTTTAATTTTAAGTTTATGATATGTTTGAGTAGTTTAATATTGTCTGAGTAATGCTTGAAGATTAATATAAATATTGTAAACCATGATAAGATCGTAGAGTCTAGTATCGATACTTATATAATAGTATCGACAATATTATGATAGTATTGATACTCAGATAGAAGTATTAGTACCGTGAATTTATATTTTATTTTTAGAATTTTCAAATGTAGATATCTAAAATGTGGTATTAATACTTATGAGTCTTCTTTGTCAAGCTAATTATTTTCTTTATCCTAAGGTTATCTTTTTACTTATTTTAGTTCATTAAAGTTTAAACATTTAGATTTATTGAATATACATCTCCAACTTGCATTTTGAGCTTTGTTTGATTTATTAATAAGTTTATGTGTTGCTTAAATATTAAGAATTGCGAATTTGATAATTCGAGGCAATAGTTTTAAAAACGTGGTAGTTCAATATTGGTAAATAAGAGTTTGACATTAACAGACCCATCATCTTTGAGATGTCAGTGGTTTAAATCTCCACTGCTAGTAAATAATATTATAGGGACCCAAATTTTTAAGTCAATACATGATACTTGAAGGGGTCTATAAGCCAATACGAGTGTATGGCTAAAATCGTTTGACAAGAGGTGGGCCTAATCAAACGAGTTTTAGACATGAATAATCATAAAAATGAATTTTGAGTTAAGACCAAATGAGGAGAGACCATATGAGTGAATATCCTATTGGTAAAAATATATCTTAATTTGTGCTTATGTCATGCAGGTGTGAAAATAAGGGGTTAAAATTGAATGCTTTTCACCACCCTTTATTTATTTTTCCTCCTCTCGACTCTTTTCCTTTCTTCCTTAAGCTAAACTCCAAAGGTATGAGCTTTATGTTTTGTTGAGGGGATCATATAAGAGGAAGTTAAGATTTAGCTCTAGAAATTCAAGAGCTTCATTATAGGCTTCACATCTTCCAAGGAAGATGGTGTAGAGCAAGCTTAGAGGTTTATGGAGAGTTTTGATCTTTAGAGTGTTGTGAGCTTCATTCAAACATTCGTAAGCTCCAGATTTGATTTTATGATTCGGGTAATCTTATGTTTGATTAGAAACATCTCGTATTGCTTGTTTGATTAGAAAAAGAGGTGGGGGAGTCATCTTGTGCGAGAAAAGAAGGGAAAAGATTGATTAGAACAGAGCAAATGTAACGCATATGCATGTTGAGTGTTAAGTGTCAGCCATTCTGTTTGATCAAATAAATGTCTTTGTTATTAAACATGTGGAAAAGTAGTGTTAAATGACTCTATACTACCCCCATAAGCTTTAGAAATCGACAAGTGTGTTTGGTTTGGAGACTAGTATTTTGAATAGGAAGCCGTCTCCCGTCTTCCTTGTTTCTTTGACCGACGCCTCTTAGCCGCCATTCGCTTAGAAAAGTTGAACAAAGTCGCTTCTTTTTTATTGCTTCTTTTCACCCTCGTGCCCAATGCCCCAACTCCAACTACTTGTACTCCTCTAATATTATATAGTCAACTAAAAGCTTTGCTTTCACAGCAGCTTCCTTTGGCTCCCCTTTTAAATCCCCCTTCCTCACTCTCACTCTTCATTCAATCCAATACTTCGAAAGTTTCTGCCTTTTTCAGTGTTCCAATCAAATGGGTTTAGAGGCTCTTAATTCCCCAACAACTGCTACTGCTCCTTTTCACTTCCAGGATACTACCAATCTACACTGCCTGGACTCCATCACCAAACGGAAACGTACCAAGCGACCGCGAGTTCCCACCGAGGAAGAATACCTCGCTCTCTGCCTTATCATGCTAGCACGCGACCATGCTCCCGCGCCCGTCTCGACTGACAAAAAACATACCTACAACTGCAGCGTTTGCAACAAGGTGTTTCATTCTTACCAGGCTTTGGGTGGCCACAAAGCCAGCCACCGTAAAGGCAACGCCAACGAGGAGCAGTTATCAACGTCAATGACCACATCTACTCCTGCCGGTGGAGTTACGTACTCGACCGCGTCGAACCCGAGTGGAAGGTCCCATGAGTGTTCGATATGCCACAAAAGATTCCCGTCAGGCCAGGCCTTGGGAGGCCACAAGCGACGCCACTATGAAGGCGGGGCTGTGAAAAGCGGTAGCGGCGTGACGACATCTGAAGGAGTGGGATCAACCTCGACAAATACCGTGAGCCACGGCAGCCAACGAGGTTTTGATCTGAACCTCCCGGCTTTTCCGGAATTCTCACCGGTTAATTTCTTTGGCTCCGGGGGTGATGATGAAGTGGAAAGCCCACACCCTACTAAGAAACCGTGTCTGTTGATCCGGATGCCATCCAAAATTGAAGTCAACTAAGCTTTAGGCCAGATTCGATGTATTCTTTTTTGTACATAGCTCATGGACGATTCATCAATTAGTTTATGCATTATGATCCGTCTGTTTTACTTTCATTTTATGCCGTTTTCACGTGGGGAAGCGATTAGTATTAAAAAGTGGCTTCTTATTCTATTCAATGTAATTGATTTTTTACTCATTTAATTAATATTCACTCTAGTCAAATGATTAAAATTATTTGAAACAGATATTATTTTATTATCACCTTATCTTAATAAAAAATTAATACTCTGTGCTACTATAATAGTTTGATTCCGCAAGTCATCATTTTTTTATTTGATTAATTTTTTCAATTCTATATTTCTCCCTCAATATTTAATTTATTAGCTAATCTAAAATTGATATTTTGAGCCTAAGTCCTTCTAGAACTCTAGAATTCTAAAAAGATAATAATATTTACGTCAATTGATTTTTTTTTTGAAAAATAGTACTTTATTATTCATAAAAGGAAATATCATACTACTCAAGGTCCCGTTAAAAATCCTCCCTAACTCTAAGTGGATGAAAAATAATGAGCCCGAGCAGTGGAACAACGTAGCCAACAACTACAATAAAAATCAACGAAACCCTTCTAAACAGTTCCCTATCAACATAAAAAAATCCATCCATGCACAACAACTAGGAAAAACAGCTAAACAACCAAAAATCAAAGAAACATTTCAGCTAGGGGGAAAGCCTGAAGTAATTTTCGCCAACTGATTTGCTACCGCATTACGTCCCCTTGGAATGTACTTCAGACCGAAATTTTCTCTATAAATAGACTCAACAAACAGCTAGAGCTTCTTTCCCCGTTCTGATAGAATAGACAATGGATTCCTCACCCAATTCACAACAGATTCGCAGTCACATTCAACGACAAGAATAGCAGACTTATACCAAACTGAGCTAATAAAAAAATTAATCGCATACTCTATTTGTAACATCTCAAATCAGGGTCAGTGACTAAATTGTAAATTTTGAAAACTATGTGCTCGATTTCAAAATAAGTTAAAAGTTCATGGATTTAATTGAAGAATTTTGATGTTGGATTTAATAGTAAAGTTGGAAAGTAACAAGGGTATTATGGCCTTTTATAAGAGAAGATTTTTTATTCTCTTTTTAAGGGATATAAAAACGTGGGAAATGAGGAAATGTATCCATAGTCTTCTTCTTTAGCTTCTTCTTCTCCCCGTAAGCCTCTGTTAAAGGTGAGTTTTAATTTCAGCTGTCTAATTCTTGGATTTATAAGTTGATTTTGATTCTTTGAGTATTATATAAGCTTAAGGAAAACTTATATAAGCTTTAAACATCAAGAATAGAGAATTAAAAAGGAAATTATATGAAGGGTGTAGAAATGAACTTTTGTTATAGAAAGGTTTTTGAAGTTCTAAAAGATGGATTTGACTTGTCAAAGGGTTAATTAAGAAGTTAGAAGTGATAGAATTGAATTTATAACACATGGAAAATTTGATGAAATTCTTTGATTCAAGAATTATGGTGAATTATGAGAGACGGTGAAGAGTTATAGTGTTATAAGAAGGTTTACATATGTATAGATAAATTTTAAGGCATAAGGAGGGGTTAATAAGTAGAATTGAAAGGCAAAGTAAGACATTTCGTGCTCAAAATGGAATTTCTGGGTTGTGTGCATCGATGCATCTTCAATGTGTAATCGAATGTAATTCGTGCATCGATGCATAAGGAGTGCATCGATGCATCCCCTTAAAATGGAAACATCGAATGTAAATTGTGTATCGATGCATGGGTAGTGCATCGATGCACATGTTAAGGGATGCATCGATACATTGTAGAATGTACCGATGCACTGCAATAGAAATTGAATAAATATTTCTTTCAGTCTAAGAAATGATAGATTATAGTATACCTATTGGATACTGATAGTATAAATACATGATTGTGTATATATCGAGCACGAATAAGTTCCAGAACGATTATCAAGTTAAGATTCGATCGAAAGAAAAGAAATCAAAAGGGGATTAGAACTTAGTGAGGCCAATGTGAGTGCATATTAGATATTATATAATATTTAATGGAAATAAGACTTGCGACAAGTCTATTTCCTATAGTATTATGTATGGATTCATGAACATGAGCATATTTGTTATGAGTTATATGTTATTGTATGTGTGATATGATTTGTATGAATATATATTAGTGTGATAAGACATATGAACTGATATAAGTGATATATATGTCACATAAGCTATATGATATACATATGAACATAAGTAAACAAGACATGATATATGTGCATACATAAGAACATGAGAAATAAAATAAAAAATGTGATAAGGAAATAAATAATGAAATGAATACGTAGTAATGAGATTATATGAATAGATACTGTTGATAGGGCTCATAAGACTATAGATATATCTTTTTAATGTAATAAATTGAAATAAGTCAAATGATATTGAAGTATGTGAATATAGTATATATGATATAAAAGTGCATATGTGAAATGACATGATAGGGATAAAAATAGTGAGCTTACATGTTATGTGATATGAATATGATATATGTGATGTATGGGAAACATATGAACACAAAAGAAATGTTATAAGCTATGTGATTAAATGAGAAATGATATGAACACATGTATATGTGATTATGAATGACAGGAATATGAGAAAAGGTATATGTGATATGTGAATTATATGTAAGTGAACCACGTGACTATGTGATAAGAATATGTGAAATAATATAAAGAAAATGCCCATGTTATGTGTTATGAGATCTAGAGATATAGTTGGCATGCCAAGAGTCAAGGGTTCTACGTGGTCCTTCGGGACATAGTGGTCCTACGGGACATTTGTGTTCTACGTGGTCCTTCAGGACATAGTGGTCATACGGGACAAATTCTACGCGCCCCTAGTGGGAATTATACGAGCTATGGTGACAATATAGTGCACAACCTCTATGTACTCACGTATCTTTAGCTCTCAATAATGTACATGGGCTAAATAAGAGATAATATTAATAAACTTTATATGATGATATGTTTGTTCTCTTGTGAAATGATATGTGTGATATATGATTTTTCAAATGGTAATTATAAGATCATATGATAAAAAGGAATCAATGATAGTGATAAGAATAATGATGATGATATAGTTGCTCGTGTGTATGGGTTTTATAATAGGATATATGTTTTACATAACATGATGATAAAATAACAAGTCTATAAGAGATATAATATAGACATAAGGAATCATAGGAACAGGAGATAAGAGATATGAATAATAATGACATATATGTGTATGTATGTATTTGTTACATGTAAAAGTATATGAGTTATATGGAATGATAGTAGTAATTGTTTATGTATGATTACTAGTTAATGTTTACATTATATATATTTATTGTCTCACTAAGTCATCGACTTAGCGTGTGAGTGTTTCACACGTAGGTTCCGGAAAGCTAAGAGAAAAGTTAAGAGGGCAAGACAGGTCAGTATCTCCTTTACAAAGTTCAGATCAGAAAAGTATGTGGAAATCTACGTATATTGTTATATTAATTGTAGTTGGCATGTACTCAATCAATTGTATTGAATATGCTCTGGTGGGCTTTGTAAAACTAAAGGTTATAGCTAATGAAAATCATTTACTTTCTCGAATTTTGGATTTAGATTTTATTAATTTATGAGGAAAAATGTTTTGATAAGTAAATGCGACACCTCGGACCCATATCCGGGTCAAATACGGGTTGGGAGTGTTACACTAATGCCAAGATTTCATCTTGTACCGGAGAACCTCCCCCAATTGGGATCAAAAATGATGCTAAAATAGAGCCATTTGAGTCTCTAAGAATCCCACCAATTCCTCTTCCGCTTCAATAAGCTCTTATAGAAACATCTACAAAAATTTCAAAGTTCCACTCGGAGGAGGAATCCAATCCAAATGATTTTTCGAAGCCCTCAACAGGAGAGCAGAATCCTTTGCAATTGTTAGATTGGCTGCCAAACTATCCGCACTAATAGAAACTAAATGAAATTTAGCCATTAGCCAATAAGCTATACGATACTTGGTTACGAATGCCAACTGCAACCCATCAAACTTCTTACCCTTAAAAACCATTTAATTCCATAGAAGCCATGTAAACCATAACATCGCCATGGGCAATAATCCCCAAATCAAACCATACGATAATCTACTCAGGGGAGAATCACACCAAGCTTGCATAAAACAAAAAGAGACATTTGAAAGAACAGCAATAACACCTCATAAAGTTAAAAAAAAAAAAAAAAACTCCCCCATACTCTCCAAACTTCGACGCAAGAGAAAAACAAGTGTTCAACTGATTCTGAGAAAGCCAAGCATAGCGGGAAAGGGAATCCGACACCAAAACTCATCTCTTTTCAAGTTCCACTCTCAATAGGACTCTTCTCCGAAGCACCTCCAAACGAAAGCTTCTACTTTGAATGAAGCTAGTCCCAACCAAACATTTCTTTTCCAATTAAAGCCAGCCTACCCATTTAGCCAATCAAGAGTAGACGAAGATTTTATTGAAAAAAACTCTATCACTAGATCCCAACCATTTAACCCTATCCGTGCAAAAAGACAAACTAACAAACCCATCAAGGAGACGCATTACACCCTCCTATTGATGTCTTTCCCAATCAAAGACATCCCTTCTTAATAAAATGTTCCAAACCCACCCCACCTCACTTTTAACCCCGAAATCAGAAATTAGACCTCTTTTTTCGATGTCAATGCAAAAATTCTCAGAAATATTTCTTTCAATGGGTGATTACCAATCCACTTATCATGCTAAAACTTAATTGTTACCCATCTCCGACTTGAAGTTAGAAAAGCCCCTGAATGCTCTTCCTCACTTCCTTCCCAATGAAAGTAGAAAAGATTCCATGCCAAACCCAAGAAGCTCATCGAGGATGCGAAGAGGGCGGAATAATAACCTCCTTGTTAAGATTATAGATCATAATTGAAACTAATTTCCATGGGCTATTATGCTCGGAACAAAACCTCCAACACCTTTTCCAAGAAGACCAAAATTTTTCTGTT